GGTGTAGTTCAAAATAGTTGTTAGAACCTGGGTTGACTTTAGAGTTAGGGCTAGGATTAGAATAATTTTAGTCTTTACGGTTAGAGAGGCTATTAATTTAAATTTGTTCTATATAATATATAAAATAAATAATAAATTTTTATATATATAAATATTACAGAACATAAGTGATATATTAATTGATCATGTTAATAAAGTAATACATACGTAAATATTACAGAACATATAGTGATATATTAATTGATCACGTTAATAAATAATGATTATGTGATATCATAGAGGTTCACAAGTGTTAAATTACAATGCTTGGCATAATATTTCGGAATAATTTGCGTAATATTACGTAATACATTGCACAATATTCCAGAATAAATTGTGCAATATTCTGGAATAAATTGCATAATATTTCGTAATAAATTATGCAATATTATGCCCAGACCGTAATTCTTGCGCAATATTACAGGCCGTAATATCCTACATAAGATTACAGTTATATATTTTGCTGATGTCAGTTATTTTAGCTTTAGCTTCTTGAATTAACATTAAAAATTTGTGTTGAGCTAGTGTATTGGAGATGATAATAGGTATTTCAACTAATAATAAAGAGCTTGAATTTGGAGCTAACAATCTTGAACTAGCTGAATTTGAAGTTGATGATTCTAAACTATGTATGTTGGGTAAACTGGGTAGTAAAAAAAAGGTGGTTGTTCGAACAATAGATGGACTAGCAATTAAATATTGATTAATTTGATTTTTAATTGTTGCTTCAGATTCTTTCTTATATTTTTGCCATTTTTTGTTTGCAGCATTCATCAAATCTTGTTTATTCATACTTGGGTTACAAAATTTAGCCATCGTGAAAAATGCAAAAGCATTGCAAAATTCATGATATAAAATTATAGGATTGGCATACAAGTAAGTTTTTAAGAATGTAGGCATTGAAAAAAAACTCTAAGCCATATCAAAAATGTCAAATATAATTTATGCTGAAAAAGAACAGTTGTCACAACCACAAGTAGCAAATAAGAATTTAAATTTTTTTGATAATTTTTTATACAATAAAGAATTAATAAGGATTTTTATTATGTTTTTATAATGAAATTACACCTTTGCTCTAAACTTTATTTAGAAGATTTATGCATATTATTTATTAAGGACAAATGTAAGTTTTTATAATTTTTATATGCCAAGTTTATATTATTAATTCTTTTAAGTATCTTTCTGTATTAATAACTACATATTATACTGTATATCTTTTATATTAAGATTTAATTAATTATTTAGATCATTTTTCTATTATTTTTTAGAGATCATATTAAGTTTTTATTGGTTTTTTTTTTATAATTATCTTTTTTTAACTATCTCCTATACAATATTGTAATCTTCAACTACTTACTGCCAAGATCAGATCTGCTTTATACTATTTTAGAAGATTTATACACTGCTATAATTTCTCAGAGAGCTATAAGCTAAGTCAGTTTTATTTTTTTTTGAGAGTGATCATCGCTACACACTATACTGAATTAGGTAATATTATTGATTTGCTTCATATATACTCTTGTATAATAATAATTAATATCTTTTCATATTAGGTTCACCCATTTCAATATAACTTTCACATGTGTTTAAATTCTTTTCTTTATAGTATTGTGAATTGGCTTATCAGAATTAGTATTAATAATTAAGTACAAGCTGGATGAGCCGATTTGATATTTCTAGTTTTCAAATGATACAAAGTTTTTAATAAGTATAGTAATTCTTTATAAGTGTGATAATAATAGGATTAATTTAAATATTATAGCTATACTACTTTATAAAGACAAAATTCTTTTTTTTTTTTATCAAAATAAATGTTTCAATTTTATATATTTTGAAAGAGTACACTTTCTTGAACCTAACTACAGAGGTATCACATTATTGCACACTGCTTCATACACTAGCTTTAACAATCATAATACTAATTTAGTTAGATGCTCAATTATACCAAAAATGGAAAATATAAAGCTATCTCTTAAATTGTTTTGCAGCCAAATTTGTCTGCAAACTTTTTTAAATTTTAAAATTTTTTAATAAAATTTTAAA